ATGTCCAGTTTTAAAAGATAGTATTTAAAACGGGAGTATTATTCAGTGATTAAGTTAGAGTTAAGTGAGTGTTGTTTATGTTATATTTAAGTAAGTGTTGTTTGAGTGATCTGTAAGTTGTTGTTTTTTGTATTGTTGTACATGTTAAAGTTTTATGTGTCATTTCATGTCATTATTATGAATTATAAGTATGAATCTGTGTGTTCTTAAATAACTTGATTCTCAGTATTGTTCAGTTCCGAAGTTATCATATTCTCTTTACATATAAGGTTCGCAATTAGAACAATTAAGTATAGCCACTAGTGGAACATATTAAGCCGTAAATGCCTGAGAAAAAAGAAGTGATTGATTATATTAGAAATTGTTTTATTTTTACTTAATTACAGTTTTGTTTAACCTAGTGCAGGTTCAACGATAGTTCATACCATTTAGTGGAGTTGATTGGTTTAGAGAACTTGTATTATAAAAACATGCACCCTTATAGTGGAAATATTCGTTTTACATTTAGTTTATATTTTTAAAAAGTGGCAAACACAATAAGTCTGTTTATTTTTATGCAACCCAAACCTACTCAGCTTCAGATAAAAAAATAGGAAACATCCAATCCAACCTATACGAATTTATAAGATAAATATACAGAAATACAATTATTAACAATTACCAACATTGTGGTAAGCTTAATGTGATAAACCAATTTAAATGATATAACAAATTTACTCAATTCATTAGACATAAAGTACAACTATAAAGCAGAAGACAAAACAAATAAAAAACAACAAACAACAAAATCCAATATATATTATAAAAGGGAAGTGCGCGCGTAATTACTTACAGAAAGAGATAAAAAATATATCAGCGTTAACCCTTTCGCGACTGAGCTAAAAACAGCTACACGACTGCGCGTAAAGTAAAGAACTAGCATCATGATAAATTGAAAGAGTATAAAATAAAAAGTACTTGTCAGAATTTTAAAAACAAGACCTTGTTTTTTTTTGTCTAAGAAGTGACCTTCAGATTATCCAAAAACTTTAAAAAAAATTTGTTTATCTTAGTTACGTGATCAAAATATATTATGTTAAAATTAACAAAAATATATAGTTTCTTTATGTAAACTTAAACAAATAAAAAAGAAATAGATAAACATATCATTTTTGATATTAAATTAATGAAGCCTTTATAGTGCTGATAAAACAAAAAAAATATCCACCACTATCTTTGAAAAAAATATAAATGGTTTCTTTTATATCAATATAATATAATCTGTTCTTCGTCTTTTTTTAAAATTGATTTTTGAGCGATCTATAAATGCAATTAAGAAACGGTTTGAAGCATTAACTAAAAGAATTATTCACAATTCAAAGATAATTTTAAAGTTTTTCCCATTCGCTATAGATATTTTGAAATATTTAAAACTGTGTAAGCACCGCCATGCTATTTTGTATCTAAATGACGAGTGACCCACTCGTCATTTAGATACAAATTTTATTAACCGCAATACGGGTCATGCGTCACGAAAGGGTTAAAATAAAATTGAAAATTATGTAGTATAATACCAGGTTCTCGTCAGGAAATGGATATAGAGCAGCCGTGACTCAGTGGTTAGAGTTCTGGCTTTGAACCCAGAGGTTTGAGTTTCGACGCCAGCTCTAGCCCAATAAGTGACATTGGTAAGGAAGGAGGCGTGAACTTCTAGTTAAATGCTCTCCCACGGTGCTCCGTGATAAGACCGTAAGAACTTCTGGGAGCACCTAAATAACTAAAAAATATATATGTATGTATATAAAGTATTGACCCTTACATCGATTCAATACTCTGGAACATGACGTTTAAAATGTTTTAATGCTCATTTCTAGAAACCCCCGTCGGGATATCATCCTCAAAACAAGCAAGTAAAACCCACTACTACTGCTCAGCCAAATACCTTAACTTGTTCCGTTTTAAACATAGTACACTGATATACTTAAGAAGAAAGTTAATAAAACACATTGCGCAAGAAGTAACATTGGGAGATAAAAACTTATAAGTGACATTATTCCTAAGTACTATAATACGAATTTAAGGCAGACAAACTCATAATAAAATAAAAAATGTTTAAGATAAAAGTCTTACCATAATTTGATATTGAATAAGAACAAGTCTTATGAATGCTATTTTGCGCAATGTCAATGTGGAGTTTATGAAGCGCATCTAAGTTGTAAAATTGTACACAGGTGTTGTATGACGTACTTTGCGGTAAATCAATGAAAAGAAAAATGTCCTTCAAGATAAGCCTCAGGAAACATTCAAAAGTGTCCTAAAATCATTAAAAGAACATATATATGATATTGCATTTTATCCTTTTTTTTTTTTTTTTTTTTTTTTTTTAAGTTTACATTTGTTGTCGTAGTAAATAAATTACTTTCACAAACACAAACAAGGTTTCTGAAAGAAGATCGTACTGATCTTATCATCAGAACCTTTTACAAACGTGTGTATATTATAACGTATGTAGTTTGTATATTATAACGTATGTAGTTTACTACATCAAAGCATAATCAACAAAATAAAACGTAATAAACAATAAAAGTTCTAAAGAAAATATAAAGTTAAAAAAATTTGACTTACATCATCCATTAAGATAATTAAATTTTTCAGTTTATATTTGAAAACGGGAAAAAAAAATCTTGTTACTGAATTGCGATCAATTGTTTTTATATCAGTTTTAAATTTCTAAGTAATTTTTTTTTTTTTTTTTTTTTTTAAATTATTTTTCTATAGTTTATGGTAAGCGTTTTGAGCAACATGGAATAGTTTTAGTCTTTGGTGCGGTTTATAAGAAATTTTCAAGATTTAGGTAAAAACATTGAGGAAGGGTCGCCACATTAGCAAACGAAGGGTCAGTCGGAAAACCGACCTCCTCAAATTGTTGACCTATTGGCAACAAGTTGACTATTGGCAACAAGTTGACCTATTGGCAACAAGTTAACGTTGACCTATTGGCACTTCTTTACTAATACCTTCACCACGCAAGATTACCAAATAAAGATCATTAAAATAAATGAGTTTAAAATAATATGATTCGGTGGATTATGAATTAATACAATATGATTCGGTGGATTCAGATTATCTAGGAATGAAGAAGAAAGGCGGTATTTTTTGATTCGGTTGATCCAGACTCTAAAAAAGTAGGGGAGAAGAATTTTTCAAGTTTACATCATAAAATCTTTTATCTCAAAAAACTAATAAAAAAAAAACAACAAAAAAACTACTAGTTACATTTTTAGAAGTTAAATTGCAGAGCAAAATATTTTTTCCACCTAGCTTGTGTAAAACGATAGGGTAGAGCGGTCCATATAAGGACACTTAAGAAAAAAACGCTAGTTGCAGATAAACTAACCATAGTTAACACTATTTTTTATAACTTTCCTAAAATACATAGATATAAGAAAACGAAAAATAAAAAATATAAAAATTAGCTATGACAACCAAAGTAACGAAACTCTAGACTAGCAAAATGTCTACAATTTGCAAATGGGTGGGACACAGTCGGAAAGCAGAAGTTATTCGTTAATTTTAAAGCTTTAAAATGGATAAAAAATATAGGCATTTTATTATTTAAACTTATTCAGACAAAATCTTAAAAAAGTAACACACCCATATAAATTAAACACCCATACACCACAAAAAAAAAAAAAAAAACTAAAATAAAAATTTTTTTTTTGTGTTTTATTATAAAATACTCTTAAACAAAAACTAGTATATATTATTGAATTGGTAACTAATGCTAAATCTAAAATTTTTTTCATTAAAACTCAAAAAAAAATTTTATAGCAGATCATAAGTCAAATAACATGTTTAGAGCTCCTGGACATCAGAGACCAGGAAAAAATAGAGATATAAAGCCGGAGTCCCTCTAGGACTCAGCATTCCTGAGTCCTAAAGGGACTCCGGAAGCCATGAAAAAATCTTTAAAAGTAACAATTATATTATAAAATGATTTATTTTGGGTTGCTGTTGTTGTTGTCGTTATTATAAGATAAAGTTTTATGAACATTAATGGTTATTAATCTACCAAGCTTATACAATATGTAGATATATAATTTTGTTCCTTCAGCGTTAATCATAAATAATTCTGAAAAAATATGTATATATGATTTTTTTTTTTATTTTTTAAGGATGATGCATTTAAGACGTCATTTCGTAGAGAGTTCAATTTGTTGACTACAAGTAAAGTAAAAAAAGTTGACGTTAAGTCTAAAAAGTTGACGTCTAATGCAAAACAATTTTTTTCAGCTTCAAAACATGAGCTGATGCAACAGATTTGCTATTACAGACAGTTATCTAAGCTTTTGAATGTCAAATGATATTTTGAAATAAATGACAAAACCTTTACTTTCTTTCTTACTCTATTGAAAATGAAGAGTATTTATCTCTAAAAAAGCCTAACAAAATTTTATATTTTAATTTATTCACAACTATATAAATTATGCAAAGATTGCCTGTTGAGATTTTCAAGAAAAACACAAAATAAAATTTAAGGCTTTTGTTAAGGAAGAAACATTCCATTCTACATGCTGTTAGAATACTTATTACCATGCCAAACTTTTTTTATATATATGAATAATGCAAAGTGAACAAATTTTTAACAGGGTGTAATATTTATCTATTTTTAAATTATATTTAAAAAAATACTCTTTCGAAACTCTTTAAAAAATGATAAACTTAAACTGGGGGTGCACTGACAATAGTGACACGAAGCCGGTAATTAAAATAAGACATTGTATTATTTTATATTTCTATTTTGTTTTATTATTATTTTTATTTTGAGTTTTGGCGACATGGTTTTTATAATCATCTTTCTGATACCTAGTAGATTATGTAACTATATCCTTTATATATTGTGGAGGTTTATTGTTTTGTTTTTTTTTTCAATTTCTTTTGATTTTTTTGTTTAATTTTTTTCCAGAAGTTGTTTGTCTGCCTGTATTCTTTTATCCGCAAATACGTTATTTTTTATCTTTCAGTGAGTTGTCTATTTTTATCCGTGGTTACTCTCGGCGGGAATTTACGTCATCGTAATCATCATGATGTAATTACATTGAACATGCAATCAAGATTAAAACTGTCATCTGTTCCATTTTTAAAACAATGTTTTCAAAAATCTAAGTTCATTTGCATTACGGTTCCCAAACTAAAACATATTCTAAATAAAATGGGCAACTGTGAATGTGTTTCATCTAAAATCAACACGGTAAATAACGATTTTTCTGGATTTCCGAGTCAAGTAACAACAACCGTTGGGTTTAAAATTCATTTTATTAGAATACCATTGTCCCAAAAAGATATCAAAAACTTGCAGAAATCATGGATAGACATTAAACAGATCTGGATAAAAATTTGCGCAACAGCATTTCAAAGGTTGTAACATTTTTCGAATTTAATTAAGCTTTTTAAAAATAACAATTGTTATATATATATATATATATATATATATATATATATATATATAATATATATATATATATATATATATATATATATATATATATATATATATATATATATATATATATATATATATATATATATATATATATATATATATATATATATATATATATATATATATATATATATATATATAATAAACAATACTTTCGTTTAATAATATTAGAAAAGAACTAATGGTGCAAAATGCCGTAAAATAACAGTGGAAAACAGATTAAACAATCCCTTGTTTGAATAATAATACAATGTAAAATATTTTAGGTGGTTTTCAACATATCCAGAAATTAAAGAAATGTTTAGTTACGAATATGACAATGTAGATGAGACCAGTATTAAAAGTTCACCATCTCTATTTTCGCATGTGCAGAAATTTGAATGCCTAATTGAGAAAGTATTAAATGACGCCGAAAACAAATCAAAGTTTGTGGAAACGCTAATAAATTTGGGAAAGTTTCATTATGAGCTTGGCGCACAACAAAAATTCGCCACAGTAAGAAATTTTTTAAATATTTTAAGAAATTTTCTAAAAGTCTTTCAAAGAATGTCAAAGTTTTACTTATTTGTGCTTTACCTAGTGATTAAAAATTGTAAAATTCAACGGGGTAATTTCATTTGTGTATTTATAGTAGTTTTTATATATTTGTTCTTACATATTTGTAATTACTTGCTTTTACGTTTTTGTTTTTTTATATATTTGTTCTTACAATAGTATTTGCGCAGTTTTTTACAAATCAGTTCGACAAAATCGGTAACAACTTATATTCATAAAACCATCCTTTATAAGTTATTAGTATAAGTTTTAACATCTGTAGCCATTGAGGCGTATCTTTTAATATTTTATCAAATTGAGAAGTTCAAAAATATTTTTTCTTTGCAATTTAGATAAAATCTTTTAAAATATTTATCCGTTTAAAAAAAGAAATATCAAAATATAATGAATTTATAAACGTTATAAAAGTTAAATACCAGTAAAATGCAAACCACTAACGGCGAAAATCTGGAAACATTTATTGCCAATCAACAGTTAGTTGGTAATTATAAAACCAAAAGTCGTTTTGACACAGGATTGGTAAATAAATTTAATTTGCTAATGTAGGTTGGTGTACCAAGACTAAAAATATGCGAAGCATTACTACTATTAAATTTTAAAATATTTATTTCATGTATCTTTATTTGAATAAAACTTTACTTTCAATATTTTATTTTCAGTGTTTAGTTTTAACCGATGAAACTTTATTCCGAAATGCTCGGATAATCATAAATTTACGCTGCGTAGCATTTAAAAACTTTATCGTTTAATTTATGCAACTTATATTTACACCAAAAAGAGAAAAAATAAGATTTTTTTCTAAGCAAAGATTGTTTTAACCGTCAAGTTAACTAACCAACTTTTTCAGTCATAAAGTTGTGATAGGCAGGGAGAATAAATGGAAATCACCTCAGTAAGTCCTGATAGTTATGCTAATTAATGGTCTGTCATCGCTTTTTGTTTTTTACCAATCTTCATTATAGCTAATCTTCTCGACAACACAAAATTTAAATTGTAAAAGTCAGTGTTTTAGAATATGCTTTTAGATTTACAAAATTGAATTACGGTAATAGGCTACAATAAAAATACTAACTTTTAATTAAAATACAAAAACAGTTTTTTTGACTTATTAAAACTTTAACATTCTTTAGATCTCTACATAAATCAGAGAATATTTTTGTAAATGAGGTAAAAATGTACATATGTAAAAATGTTTGTTTAGCAACGCCAAAGCAACCATAAACACATATATATTATTCATTAAATGTTAAAGAAAATCTGAAGCAAAACTTATTTGTCTACCATGCTTTTATTTGTTTACTTATCTACTTTGCTTTAAAGAATTCAAAAATTGAAAACTTTGTAGGTGTAGTTAAAGCTATTTATGATGTTATTGTTAGAGTACGTTGCTGTATTAGGTCTTTAATTATTAATACTATTAAATGTTCATTAATAAAAAATAAGCAAAAAAAATAAACATTAAAACAACTAATAAACAAAATTTTTACAGAAACAAAAAAGCTGTACGAATTAGTTCCAAAAAGTGTTAAAGTGTTTAAAAATGTGTGAAATCTTAACGCTCAAATGAAACTCTTGTCTGAAAAGCATCCATAAGACTATTTTAGTATTATTACTAACATAGCACAATTGTGCATTTTAGTATTATTACTAACATAGCACAATTGTGCATTTTTGGTTGTAAAAAATCGTTTTTCAAACTCGTGTGTACAGAATGTTTTCGCATAAAACATTCTGAACATACAAAAATCTTTTTTATAAGGAATGTTTAAGAGACAATGAATTAAGTTTTTTTTAAATATATATTAAAAGTCATATAGAGAGTGCGATAATTAAAAAAAAAAAGTATTTAGAATTAAATAAAGTAATTTAATTTACAGTTAGAACATGAGCTCTAACTTAGTGAGAACTCATTTTTTAAAACAATGAGACACTCGATTGCGTAACATTTGTCTCAAGATGGCACTAAAATTTGCCAATTATTTACCTGGTTGTGTAAAATGTCTCATTAATAGTTTTAATGTAATGAAGCAAGCTAACTTTACAACAGTTTTTCATTTTACAGAACTTTTAAATATTGATAAACTTTTGTGAAATGCTTTATCTTAATAAATTCATTAAGGTCAATGATAAAACCAAATTTAATTCGACAAATTGTTTAATTCGAAAATCTTATTGCTTTCATTCTTTTTTGCCTAAAAAAATACTGTCGAAATGTAAAAAGACTAAATATTTTAGTAAAGGTATTATGGAATTGGATAAATAATGGTAGAAAAAGTGTGATAAAAATATTACAGCATTTTGGCTCAGAAGAAAATGTTATCCTATCAACAACAAGTTAAACAAATAGTTTGCAAATAAAACTAGTAAAAAGAAAGATACTAATAAGATAAAAAAAAAACTTTAAAGGCTTAAATGTTTAAGAATAAAAAGAAATTTTAATATGCTGTTGAAATGTTTTTAACTTTATTTCGTATTTTAATTGGTGTTTTCTTGAAGTTGAGTTTTTTTTTATATTTTATCAAGATTCAAAACCACGATTTTTCTAATTGAATAAAGCTTTTGTTTTGAGTCTTCCGGAACATATATCTAAAAACATTGAACTTCATAACGGAGAGATTTTATTTAATTGTTTTCAACTCTTTAAAGCCCACCTTATGAATTCTTTGAGTAAAAATGATATCCAATAGGGAAATAGAACATTTATTGTCTCTAATGGTTATTTAAAAAAATGTTTTTAGCTGACATAACCAGTTTTTAAGATATGGGTGGTAGCCATATGGATACTACGGGCATTAAGGAAAGTAATTTTGAAAAATTTATCAAATTTAAACTAAAAAGCTTATATAAATATATGAGAGTCTTTATATATATATATATATATATATATATATATATATATATATATATATATATATATATATATATATATATATATATATATATATATATATATATATATATATATATATATATATATTATATATATATATATATATATATATATATATATATATATATATATATATATATATATATATATCAGGGACGGATCCAACATTTGTTGTTTCTTGAGATAACTAATTTTCAGACATGGAAGAAACTCCAAATATTTATATGTTTATACTTATGTCAAATAAAGATGCTTTGCAAAAAATTCTGATAATTGGAACCTTGGAACAAAAAAAACTTATAATTTTGGCCACAACTACCCCAAACATGAGAGCCGCAAGTTGACAAAATATTTTTTTTTTACTATTCAAAGTTATATTTATCAATAAATTTTAAATTTCATAGTATAATCTCTCAGCGTTCAAAAATTATGACCATATAAAATTTAAATTCATAATTGACGGGCGTTGATAACAAGCATGTTGAAATGAATTTAACACGTATTGTTTAAATCTGTTTAGTGAAATTTTGGTGCTTTTTAGAAGCTTGTAAGTAGAAAACACAATGATATATATCATATTTCTAGAGATCTTTTCTGTTACTTACCTCAATGGCAAAGTAGTCAAAATTAGAAAAAAAACTTCTAATTGCAGTTGGTGTTGCTGGTGTTGCTACTAAATGCTTTTATTAAAAACATAAACTCATTTTTATATTAAAAAAATGCATATTTTTTCAGCATTATTAGCTTTGGGCATTTTATTACCAAAGACATATTAGGCATTCTCTTAAAATAGTTGTTTAGGATGGAATATTTAAAGACTTTTTTTCACGTATTAAAGTTTATAAAAGTTAGCTGTTACACATTAAAATAAAACATTAAAAGAAAAACAGTTTAAGTCTAAAAGTATCGGATGGTAACTATACTATATCGTGGAATGATAAATATTAGATTTGTTTGTATTTTTATGTAAATAACTTTTCCTGAGTGGCTGCACGGCTAGTAACATAAATAACTAAAAGAAATAAAAACTTAATAAAGAAAAAAAATTATTTATATAACATTTAATTTCAGGCGCTTGGATCAAGTTTATCTTATGCTACGTGCATTAATATAAACGAAAACGATTTGATGACAAAAAATGCATGGGACACTTTTTTTCGTTTCATGACTGGAAACGTTAGACTTGGAATAAGAATGAAGTTAATGGAGAACTCCATACAAATTTAAAGTTTAAAGGATGCGTTTTGGAACTCAAACGGTAATTTACGTTTTGGAACTCAAACGGTAATTTAATATAGTTGCTATTTCGAGCAATCTTGTGGACACCAAAGTTTAAAAAGAAAGCTGCGTGACATAAGCTTCCTAAAATGTACATGTATCTTATATCTAACTCCTTATTTATTTTAATATTTTTGCCATTATTATTTGTATATATTTTAATAATGTTATGGCTATCATTGATGAGAATAAAATTTTGTATTGACTATTTTTAAACTGTTTTTTGTAGATACGTAATATAACTTCTTTTTTCTTTTTCTTTTTTTTGCAAACAACAAGTTGATTTGATGAATTTGTAACATGGCGCTATTTAATCACTTACTATAATAATATTATATAACTAACAAGACAATAGTTTAATATATTTTTCAGCTGTTGATAGAATAATATTTTTTTCTTAATATCTAAAAGCAATATCAGATACTGTTTCAATGTTTGGGCAAGCTTTTATCAGTAAAATTTGTAAATAAAAATTGTATTTAAATAATAAAAAAAGTAGTAGTAATACATTGTTTTTTTAATATATTTTATTGATTTTTGTAAAATAAGTAAAAGACAGGTTAGATAATTAGAGTTTTGTTTTTACCTGCTTTGCTTTTAAATATTTTAAATTACTAATAATTGCTTTGCTTTTAAATATTTTAAATTACTAATAATTGTATACAGTTTAATTAAAATAAAAAATATACATCTTAGAAAAACAGCATCGAACATATTATAATTCTTTTACAATGGCTTCTCAAAATTTCTTGAACGGATATTTAAATGTAACCCACAATCTTATTGAGGGCACTAGTAACTAATTCAGTTTCTTTAATAAAGTTGTTTTTAAATAAAACATTGTTCTATTTAAAAACAACTTTTAATAATATATATACTATTAAAAATTGTTTTTAAAAAAAAACGGATAGCAAAGTATACTTGGCTATCCGTAATTGGCTTTACATGACATAAATCATGTAAAACGGTATACGTGTCAAGAGTTCATATCAAGTTAACTTGATATGAGTATAAATTGCACATTCTGACATTTTTTACAATATCTGTCCGCTTTTTCTATGCTATTTTTCTGAACAACTTCTTCTGACTTTCCCTCTATAATTCTTCTTTCTTCTTAAACTCATTCACTCTTCTCAGGCCTGCTCAGCCTGCGAAGCAGGTTGAGCAGGCCTTTTTATGTGGCCTTTATATGGCAATTAGTCGGAGGAGGAAAAACCACAGTAGCGTATACTTGGCTTTCCTCTATTGTAAAAATGTTTCATAAATATATAGTAAATTTTGACTTTCTAAATTTTTTACGCAACTTCACTATATTAAAAAACAACCATAAAAATTACAATAATTGCAACGATAAAGAGTATTGTTTGAACTTTTGTTATAAGATAATAGTTTAAAATCAAAAATAATTAACATTATTAAGAATAACAGTTAATATAATAAAAGTGTTTAGTACAAATAATACCTTCAAATAAAATAATTTTTTTTTTTATTTGTTCTATATTAAATATTTTTTATATTGATTTTTGAAAATATTTTCAAAATAACCTACTATAATAATATAGGCTTGTTGGCTCCGTTTTTACTCTTTGAGCTCTGCAGCCCTAACAGCAATGTTTTTTGTAAATATTAATTCGCAGCATTAAAGAGTATGAATTTAGGTAACATTTTTAATTTGCATTCATTATAAAAAAAATTTTCCTGGAGCCTCAAAAAAAAAAAAAAAGTTAGCCAACTTACCCCACTCCGGGGTAAGTTAGCGCAAACTATAAAAATGATTATTAATATATATTAAATGCAAAATTTATAGAAATTTTTGTACTATTTATTTTGGCAACAATTTTAAGCCAAAAATTTAAAATTACTTTTAGCTGGTACCAAATACTAGTACAACCAAAACAGTAGCCCACTTTTATCTGTAAAAAAAAAACCTTTATTATTATTATTTTTTTTTGTAAAAATAAATTTTTTCAATGTTGTTAAGAATTAAAAAAAAATTAATTTTATAAAATTTTTTTTTTTTTCTAAAGTAAATGCTATGAGTCAACTTACCTCGTAAAAATTTTGCCAACTTACCCAAAAAGCCTTTTTTTCAATAAACAATCTATAGATTTTTGTTCAAAAAACACATCAATCCTAATATCTCTCATGCGCATGCGCAAATCCTAACAATACTATAGTAAATGATGAAATTGTCAAATAGGAAGGTTCTGTGTAATTTTTGTCTAATGAAAGGCTCTGAAGATAAACGCAGTTCGTCAACTTACCCCTGCTGCCAACTAGCCCCGGTCTCCCCTAAATACTAATTTTCAAAAAGTCATCAAAAACGAATAACCATGTTAAGAAAAAATCTTTTTTATATAAAAATAGCTGTTTTACAAGTGTAAATGAAAGCACAACGAAGAAAATAACTGACTAATTAACTGACCTATATGACCATAACTGACCTACTTACATAAAAACATGTTTAAACCTAACTTTATTTTTTTGATAGTTTTATCACATTGGACAGGTCCACGCCTAAAAAATGGTATCGAACACATCTGTTGAGGATCTCAAATTTTAATTTTGTAAGCTTACAAATAGAAATAAAATTAACAAATAAGAATAAAATTACAAATAGAAATAAAATTAACTAGTAAGCTAACTTTATTTCTAAATGTTTTAAATACCGATACTAATGAACATATTAAAAGTTAGGAGAACGATTAACTAATTATTCAAAATCAGTTAATTGAGTAGACAGGAAAAAAAACTGGTAAAAGGTTTTTGATAAAAAAGGTAAATCTAAACAAAAAAAATTAGATAAAAAAGTTTTAAGCAAAACAATCAATAACTATATAATGTTGTTTTAGTACTATTGTTTTAATATATTTTACTCGTAACGTTAAGAGAAAAAGGTATAACTTTCACTCTTATTTTAGGTACACCACAGAAGAGAGTAGAATAGAAAAGTGTATCTTTAATACCTAATATTAAAAAGAGCACTAAAAATTACTTTCATTTTTAAGAACAAACCTAAAATTTACATTACTAGTTAAAAAATGTTTTAAAGTAATTTTAATATCTTTTTTATATAATGTATATAATGCACCAAACATTTTTTAACAAATAAAGCATGATTACGGGCACTGATTCCATTCCCTAAGATTGACAGCAGGTTATTATAAAGTATATATACTTTGATATTAGTGTAACCGTGCCATTGAATTAAAGTGAGACATGGGGTGAAGTGGGGCAAGCGAGTAATTATCAACCTATTAACAAAAATTATTAAATGAGACTAAAAAAGTTGTTTAACCTCTAAAATATTTTGATGAAGATTAAATATAATTTTTTAAATTTTAATTTTAGATTTTTAAATTTTTTAATTTTTAAATCTTCATCAAAATTTTCATCAAAAAGATTAAATATAATCTTCATCAAAATATTCTAGAGGTTTCCGCAACATAACTACACAAAAGTGGTTTAAGAGAAGTGGGTCATCAATTAAATTCATTTATTCCAATTCATCCCTTAAAAAATAGTTTTTTAGAGTCACTTTTTAAAATGTGTTTTTTTCATACCGAGATACAATGCGGTAACAGATACAATGCGGTATCTGTTAAATAGATTGTTTTATATTAGATAACATTAATTAGGAGCCTATCCTAATTTTGGGAAGTCCTACTTCTCCCGCGTCACACATTTTCCCACGTCGTATTTGCAAAACAAATGTCCATTCGTAATAAAGACCTCAATAATGATATATTATGATTTTAAGTAATAACATAATATAATATAGTAGATATTACTTTATTTTTTATTATAATGCAATAAGTAATAATATATTATATATAACTTTATTTGTTATAAACACTTGATTATCTTTTTATTTGCTATAAGCAATTGATACATTGTAATTATCACTAGTAGGTAACATGTATTACAATTATAAATGTAGATGAAATTGTGACACATGTTAAAATATATTACAATTTCATCTACAAAACCAAACCTTCAGTCGATGTATGTACACTCCTTGCATGTTTTACCTATTTGTCGGTTTATGAAAAATGAAAGACCAAGCTTTACTTGTAACATAATTTGCACGTATGAATTATTTATAATATAAACAACTATTATATTGATATATAGTTTATTTTATGCGCTGTAAGCAAAATCCACGAGGATTTTTCCTGAGGAAATTTTTTTCGAGGGAATTTTTTCCTGGGCAATATTTTCTAGATGGATTATTTCTGCTAGGATAAACAACAATCTTAACTTTCTAGTTAAATACTCTTCCACGGTGCTCTGTGTTAGGACCGTAAAAAAAAATTATTTTACGGTCCTACCCACTGGGTAGCACAGAGCAATTTTTTTTTTTGAATTAAATCAAAATCATAAAACATGAAAAATCAACTAAAAATGCTTAAGTTAAATTTTGAAAATTTTTCAGTCAAACAACAAGATAATTTCAAATGTAGTTGCTTTTGTTTATGTTGTCTGTTTTTCTCTGTAGCTTTTTCACAGCGATTTATGGTCAAAAATGAAACAATAATTCTTGAAGTTGCAAATATTTTTACAATTATTTCCGCAAATTACACACGTTTTTGTTCCGCAATTTTGCACAAAGCGTCAAAAAAAAAAAAAAAAAAAACAGGTTAATTTAATTTTAAGAAAATTTTTCACCTAAGTTTTCTATTCCTATTTAATCCATTTTTAATTGTGAAATGAGTTTAAATTTAATTGGAGTAAACTTTTTACTACAGTAAATATGGTTTTTCTCGCATGAACCGAAGTATGACAGAGAACAGAAATGAGATAGAAAAAAGTTATTTAAAAAAAAATTTAATCAATATGAGTGTTTAGGTAGAATACATAAATTTTGATTTTATCTAATGTTAAAAGAGTAAAATTATATAATTTAAGCGAAAATTTGACAAATATGTTGTGACGTAATCAAACAAAAAGCATAAAACTAAAATATCCCGAGGGAATACATAACTTCAACGCTCTACTTAAAGTCAAAATATGATATTCAAATTTCTTTTTTAGCCAATACATGCACAATTAGTAAAAGAAGTATAACACATAAAACCATTAAAAAAAAAAAAAAAAAAACTTTTTAGAATTATTTTTTATTTAGTAAGCAGAACAGAATAAAAAAGTTGCAAAAAGTTGAAATCTAGCTCTACTAACTACTTTAAAGCAGAAAACAGATCGCTGTGTTTTCAGTTTTTTTTTTTTTTTTTTTCATTTATCTAAATATAATTTATACAAATGTTTATAAATATATATCAATGTATTTTTATCAATAGACAACTTTCTAGACTTTAAATGTCTAGAAAATAAAAGTTTTTAATATTTTATGTTTTAATGTAAAGAAGGTTTCTCTCCTAGTGAATTTATAGATCTTTATAATTTAAAACACGAAAATAAAACTGTATTGGTAAGATCCAAAAATAAGTTAATTGTGTTGCTAAAAATATCTAAAACTCCTTTGCATGAAAGGGATCGGTTTTTTATTTCTAATTTTAGTTCTTTTTTATAGAATAAACTTAAGTTGTAAAAGTTGTATTTAAAAATTAATTTTTCTTTTTAATGAA